ACACTGCGATCTGGGCTGGGCACTCGCACAGATGTCAAAATCGAGAGCAGCAGCTCTGCCTGCTCAGCTGCTGTGCCCCAGCTAACATGAACAGGGCTGCATGGGGAGGCACGGAACCCCTGTGTAGGTATACCAGGGTCCTTGCACAGGTCTGCATGGGGAGGCACGGAACACCTGTGTAGGTATACACGGTCCTTGCACAGGACTGCATGGGGAGGCACGGAACACCTGTGTAGGTATACACGGTCCTTGCACAGGTCTGCATGGGGAGGCACGGAACACCCGTGTAGGTATACACGGTCCTTGCACAGGTCTGCATGGGAGGCACGGAACACCCGTGTAGGTATACACGGTCCTTGCACAGGTCTGCATGGGGAGGCACGGAACACCCGTGTCGGTATACACGGTCCTTGCACAGGTCTGCATGGGGAGGCACGGAACACCTGTGTAGGTATACACGGTCCTTGCACAGGTCTGCATGGGGAGGCACGGAACACCTGTGTAGGTATACACGGTCCTTGCACAGGTCTGCATGGGGAGGCACGGAACACCTGTGTAGGTATACACGGTCCTTGCACAGGTCTGCATGGGGAGGCACGGAACACCTGTGTAGGTATACACAGTCCTTGCACAGGACTGCATGGGGAGGCACGGAACACCTGTGTAGGGATACACGGTCCTTGCACAGGACTGCATGGGGAGGCACGGAACACCTGTGTAGGGATACACGGTCCTTGCACAGGTATGTACAGTAGTAGGCCCCAGGGGCGGACTGACAACTCATGGGGCCCCCGGGCAATAGGGGATCATGGGGCCCCTGTGTCCTTGCCCAAACTCAAAAAAGCCCATGAAAAAGGTACCAGGGGCATCTCATGGGGCCCCCCCTACTGACCCCGGGCCCTCGGGCAGTGCCCGAGTTTCCAAATGGTCAGTCCGCCCCTGGTAGGCCCATGTAAGCAAGGCCTTTAGCTACCCAGACCAATTTGATTTAGGGCCAGTTCACACCATAGAAATGCAGTCCGGATGCGTTTCTGTATGCATGTTTTTTGTGTGTTCCAATGTGTTTTTGATGCGTCCCGATTCATTTTATTCCCTTTCTTTTTCCTCAACTTAAAAAAAAAAAAAAAAAATACATAAAAGTGCAGCACTTAAAAAGTTACAAATAATCATAAGAAAACAGTGAAAAATGTGTCAAAAAATACTCCATCCAAAAATAAAATAAAAGTCCCAGAGGTTGTGATGAAACAAAAGAATCCAAGGACAGTTGTGTCACCAACCACTACTACAGAAGGCTCACCAGAAAGGCATGACCCCGTTAAGATCGGTCAATCACGCTTTGGTAAACAATCCAGAAAGTCGGTCACTGGAATCCTCCTCCAGATCACCAAAACAGCAGATAAGGATCTTCCCAACAATGGATTTTAATTTGGGTGGCTAAGCCATTCAGGATGAGGCTTGGACTTGAAGTGGGAAACCTGCAAAGAAAGAGCGCTCCACACAGTGCAAAACCATAATCACAACATTTATGTAACGTATGGTTGCACTCACATGTCAGGAAACATGAGTAGGAGTTGATTGGAAAATGTGGATTTTTTGACAGTTTACAAAATGGCTGCCGGCCGTTTGCGCACGCACAGCAGCGTGTGCTCATGGCTCCACCCTACGCATTTCGTCACGGGGGGGACGTCATCAGGGGCATGCCCACACACTTAGCCATGCTCCTTATATAGGACCTGAAGCCCCAGAGGATCCCATCTGATTGGCCACTCATGGTGAGTAAAGCAGGAAGTACACCTGTGAAGTAGTCAGGCTCTAATCAACTGGGCACATTGCCATCTAGTGCCAGAAGATCAAATGGCATTTTAAAAAATCCAAATTTTCCAGTTTCCAAAATGGCTTCCTGCCATATTACTCTACCAAGTTGTGAACATTTTTTTTAAATGCCATGTGATCTTCTGGCACTAAATTGGAAATGTGCCCAGTTGATTAGAGCCGGATTACTTCACAGGTGTACTTCCTGCTTTACTCACCATGAGTGGCCAATCAGGTGTGATCCCCTGGGGCTTCAGGTCCTATATAAGGAGCGTGGTTAAGTGTGTGGACATGCCCCTGATGAGGTTACCTGTGACGAAACGTGTAAGGTGGTGCCACGCGCACATGCGAACAGCCGGCGGCCATTTTGGAAACTGGAAAATTTGGATTTTTTTTGCCCATCAATGCCTAATGATGTTTGCGTACATGTGAGTGCAATCATACGTTACATAAATGTTGTGATTATGGTTTTACACTGTGTGGAGCGCTCTTTGTTTGCATGTTTTCCATTACAAGTCCAAGCCTCATCCTGAATGGTTTAGTTACCCTAATTCCATTGTTGGGAAGATCCTTATCTGCTGTTTTGGTGATCTGGAGGAGGATTCGAGTGACCGACTTGCAGGATTGTTTACCAAAGCGCGATTGACCGCTCTTAACGGGGTCATGCCTTTCTGGTAAGCCTTCTGTAGTAGTGGTTGGTGACAAGGGTCCTTGGATTTCTTTGTTTCATCACAGCCTCTGGGACTTATTTTTGGATCGACTGACACATTTTTTCAGTTTTCTTAAGATTATTTGTAACTTTTAAAGCGCTGCACTTTTATGTATTTATTGTTGATTGCCTAGTATCAGGGTTTTTGTGTTCAGCTGCTATACGTTTTACACCTCATTTTTGATTATCTATTGTGGTTCTTATTAGCGCAGATATATATATATATATATATATATATATATATATATATAATTTATTTATCCTTACAGGCATGTGCGTTCCAGTGCATTTTTGATGCGTTCCAGCACAGTTCAGTGCAAAAAAAAAAATGAAGCATGTTCTACTTTTTTTTTTTTTCTTGGAACTGACCGCACTGGTGTGAACGATGCCATTGGAAACCATGTGATCTATCAATGCGTGTTTGATGCAGAAAAAAAAAAAAAACCGCACTGGACTGCATGTGGCATGAACTGGCCCTTAGACTTTGTATTCCGATTCCCTCATAAGCCCATACCTGACTGGCTCTAAATTCTGTAACACAGCTGCACAACAGAACAAATATATAGACAAGAAATGAGTTAAAAAAAAAGTTTTTTTTTTTGTTTTTGTTTCGATGTAAAATGTCATAGTCCTAGGTTTATTAAATGTCAAGATTATAAATATTTTAATGATGTCATTAAACAAAAAAATATATATAAATAAATGCCACCTTGCATCATCCAAACGCCATTTTCAGAGAAGGTCAGACATTTTGAATAATGAAACGGAACCAGGATTTAAAAAAAAAAAAAAAAAAAAAAAAAAAAACAGCCAGCACTTAAATAGGGACAATGGAGAACTGGGAAACAAATATAAAAACAAAGCCAGGCGCAAGGAAATTTCCTGCACAACAGACTCAATGAACGAAACAAAAAAAAAATTTAAAAAATGGAAATATGACCGTTACAAGTGGAACAAGTAAATCTGATTTATGGGACCGCCAAACAATTAAAAAGAAAAAAAAAAAAAACGGAAACCAAACAGGACAAAACATGTTCTGCCGCTAACATTTGGATTCGGCGGTTGGATGAAAAGTTACCCTCGACACATTTTTCTTTTACTATTTTTTTGTTTATTTTGTTTTTATCATTTCCTTCTTGCCGTTTGGATTTTTTTTCTCCTAAGTGGGACTTCAACAGCAGCCTTTGCCATAACATACACAATATTAAGCAAGATAATTTTTATGTGTTTTTTTTTTTTTTTTTTTTATAACCTTAGAAGGAAGGAAGGAAGGAAGGAGGGGGCGGGACAGGGGCTGGGGCAGTGTGGGGGGGGGGGGGGGGGGGGTGAGAGATGGGAAAATTAGGCCGGGACACAGAACAGAAGGGGACAAAGGGTTAAGTGCAGCTCTGATCAAAATCAATAGCAGTTTCTTTACAATTTGTTAAAATGTCTCTTTAGGTATCGGATGGTTTTTTTTTATTTTTCTTCTTTTTCCTTTCTTCCTCCCAAAAACAGGCATGCTCCATTAAAAAAAAAAAAAAAAAAGATAACCACGAGGGAAAAAAAAAAAAATATCTGAAAATTTCAGACCAAAATATTGGAGAATCCACGTGTATTCTTTTCAGATAAAATATCCAATGCGTGAAGGAGGGAATCTAACCAAACAGAAAAAAAAAAAAAAAAAAAAAAAATCTACATTCGTTTTGCAAAAATGGGGAAAAAAAAAAAAATTATATATACTAAAAAGCAACAGAAAACATTGTTATCATTGGAGTGGCTGGAATATATGAAATGTATGACCCATTATTCTGATCTGCTGGGAAAAACAAAAAAAACAGTCCCGTGTACAGCAAAAAAAAAAAAAAAAAATACTGCAAGAGAAATTCATAGTAACGCCTAACCCCTTCCGCCGAGGAGACCTTTCCAGGCCGTTATGCAAAGGGCGAGAGGTGAAGGACTTAGCTGCCGGTAGGTACACGGTATATATTCCATGGAAAAGGAATATACAACCTATCACTTGTCAGATCCAGACCACATCAAGCAATTGCCATCCTTGCCACAATAATGTGCTCAGTACAGGACTTTAAAAAAAGGGAGAAAAAAAAAATAATTTAAAAACTTGTCAGCTTTTGCGCATGTCCATACATCCTGTGTGTACTGCGGGCGGGGGTGGGGGGGAGGAAGTCGAGGCGGCCGAGTAACATCAAAAATCTTTTCTATATTTCTCAGGTGTTTGAGGTTTTCTATGGCTGCCCATGTGGATTCAGTGCTGATTTGGAACATCATTTTTACCACAGGGCCTCCTCTCCCCCCCCCCCCAGTGCGTACGATGAGAGCGCGTTCATTTTTTTTTGGCACCTCTGACGCTGTAATTGGTAAAGGGGGGGGGGGGGGGAAGAGATGTCATCCTTCCGCAATGAAAGGGGGGGGGAAAAAAGAAAAACAAAACAAAACAAAAAAAAGAGCAAAGAAAAGAAAAAGAATGTGTGCGTGGTTCCTATTTTTGGTTGTCTTGTTCATTGGACGCTGCCACGGTTCCTTCCGATTGGGCGTTCTCGATCACGCCTAGGACCAAACCTTCCGTTTCCTCTGACTTGAGTTTCTTGATGTCTGGCTGGTTGTTCTGGTCTCCGCTCTGCCTCTTGGTCGGGAGTGAGGCTGACGCAGAGGCATGGGTGGCCAACATGTGGAGGGGGCTAGCTGCAGCTGCAAGGTAGGAGGAGGACACTCAGTACGCGGTATGTGCGCTCGAACATTCATACACACGACTATTAGAATATACAATATCATTTAAAAAAAAAAAAATAAAAAATCGATGGGGTAGAAAACGAATTAGGTAAATGAATGCGATTACCACAATCTGTCGCTAATCTGAACACATACAAAAAACATGAAGTCAGTACTTGAGAAGAGCATCAGTTGCACTACTAAAATGTAAAGCCGCTTTTCCACTCGTACCTCCAGGTCAGCCCATATTAAAGCTCGCCTTGCCTGAATCTCTCCTGAACGTGCATGGCTGCGAGATTCACATGAGTGATGTCACTGGTACAGGAGTACGACACTCAATGAACGGCACGCGATCAAGTGTGCCGTCCAATCAGAGTGCTGTGCTGCGTTCATGACGTCATTGCGGCCGAGCCATTCAAATGGCCGGAGCGGTAGAACCTAGAAGAGGACAGCCCTGTCAGCAGTGACAGCACGCCATTGGAGGGATCCGCTTTACAGGTAAGTGTCATAATGTACTACACGGCTCAAAAACATGAAAGGAAGACTTTGTAATCAGAGTCTAGCATCAAGGCAATGAAACGCCTGGCATATTGATCTGGTCAGTGAAGTAGCAGAGGGGGTTGTTCATCAGTTTCAGCTGTTTTGGTGTTGATGAAATTAACCACAGGTGCACTAGATGGGCAACAATGCGACGACCCCCAAAACAGGAATGGTTTTACAAGTGGAGGCCACTGACATTTCTTTCCCTACTCATCTTTTCTGTTTCTCACTAGTTTTGCATTTGGCTAGGGTCAGTGTCACTACTGGTAGCATGAGGCCATACCTGGACCCTACAGAGGTTACAGAGGTTGCACAGGCAGTCCAACTCCTCCAGGATGACACATCAATACGTGCCATTGCCAGAAGGTTTGCTGTGTCTCCCAGCACAGTCTCAAGAGCATGGAAGAGATTCCAGGAGACAGGCAGTTCCTCTAGGAGAGCTGGACAGGGCTATAGAAGGTCCTTAACCCATCAGCAGGACCGGTATCTGCTCCTTTGTGCAAGGAGGACCAGGATGAGCCCTGCCAGAGCCCTACAAAATGACCTCCAGCAGGACACTGGTGTGAATGTCTCTGACCAAACAATCAGAAACAGACTTCATGAGGGTGGCCTGAGGGCCCAACGTCCTCTAGTGGGCCCTGTGCTCACTGCCCAGCACCTTAGAGCATGGCATTTGTCATTGAACCCCAGAATTGGCAGGTCCACCACTGGCGCCCTGTGCTTTTCACAGATGAGAGCAGGTTCACCCTGAGCACATGTGACAGACGTGAAAGGGTCTGGAGAAGCTGTGGAGAATATTCTGCTGCCTGTAACATGGTTCACCATGACCGTTTTGGTGGTGGGTTAGTGATGGTCTGGGGAGGCATATCCATGGAGGGACACACAGACCTCTACAGGGTAGACAATGGCACCCTGACTGCCATTAGGTATCGGGATGAAATCCTTGGACCCATTGTCAGACCCTACACTGGTGCAGGGGGTCCTGGGTTCCTCCTGGTGCACGACAATGCCCGGCCTCATGTGGGGAGAGTATGCAGGAAGTTCCTGGAGGATGAAGGAATTGATACCACTGAGTGACCCCCACACTCACCTGACCTAAAGCCAATAGAACACCTCTGGGATATCATGTTTCGGTCCATCTGACACCGCCAGGTTGCACCTCAGACTGTCAAGGAGCTCAGTGATGCCCTGGTCCAGATCTGGGAGGAAATCCCTCAGGACACCATCCGTGGCCTCATTAGGAGCCTCCCCCGACGTTGTCAGGCATGCATACAAGCAAGTTGGGGCCATACAAACTACTGAGGACCATTTTGAAATTTCAGCAAAATGGACTCGCCTGCTGCATAATTTTTTCACTTTGATTTTCGGGGTGTCTTTGAATTCAGTCCTCTGTAGGTCGATCATTTCCATCAAACGATGGGGCATCCTTACGTTCCTTACACATCACCCCGTCCATACCAGTATAGAGATCCAGCAGGAGATTTCTCCCCATTGAGATTTGAAGCGTTTTCAAGGTGTTCCTTTCATTTTTTTGAGCAGTGTAGTATGCTGTGTATCTATCACATTAGGATATTAACTTTTTTTTTTTACTACCACTTTAAAGTATAACTAAAGCCAAAATTGTTTTGGATAGAGTAGAGAGGGGTTAGAATGCTTGTCAGGTTTTATATCTGTCTGTCCCCCATTAGGAAGTTAGCATTAAAATTGAAAGTGTCCTTCAAAACGTTTGCTAGTATCCAATGGCAAGGACCCGTCCTAGTGTGAACCTAGCCCTACAGGCTGCAGTATGTAAATGTTTGGATGTGACTGTGTATATTTGTAACAAATGTGTATCTAGTTGATACAAATCTGTTATACACAGGGAGCGGATCTATCATCCCGTGGTGTATAACCGCTTGCCGTGGTTTTATAGGGGATGTGGATACAAACCTGTTGCAGTAAGGATGAACAAGTGTTTGGATTTGTAACAGGTTTGTATCTATTCACATCCCCTATAAAACCCCGGCAAGCGGTTATATACCGCGGGATGATAGATCCGCTCCCTGTGTATAACCGCTTACTGTGGTTTTATAGGGGATGTGAATAGATACAAACCTGTTACAAATCCAAACACTTGTTCATCCTTACTGCAACATTCCAGTTGTCCTGAGTTCATGGAGATTAAGTAAAATATTTACCCGCGGGGACACAAAAAGCATGTAGCACTTTTTCCTGTTCCGATAGGTGCTGTGGATGCTGAGCTAGCATAGTCTGCAGAGGACCCCTCCCCCCACGCTGTCTGACCACCTGCTCTGAAGAAAACCAATATCCAATTAGATTTAATGGTCAGCGCACACAGAGCACCAAAGAAAGGGACCTGTAATGGACAGCATAGGCAGAGAAAAGGGAGTGGTGAGTGACCAACACACAGAGAGAAGCTGGAGCAAGAGTCACATATTAATTCTGAAGATTTTGCCCAGGGGTACCCTGTATTAGGTGGAGGTTTCCATTCATTCTATTTACACAAGGAGTGCACATCACATGGGGGGGGGGGGGGGGGAGGTGCCGTGCACATCACATGGGGGGGGGGGGGGGGGGGAGGTGCCGTGCACAGGAATATCCATAAATTGGGCTTCAGTCTGGGGAGGTGCCATGCACAGGAATATCCATAAATTGGGCTTCAGTCTGGGGAGGTGCCGCGCACAGGAATGTCCATAAATTGGGCTTCAGTCTGGGGAGGTGCCATGCACAGGAATGTCCATAAATTGGGCTTCAGTCTGGGGAGGTGCCACGCACAGGAATGTCCATAAATTGGGCTTCAGTCTGGGGAGGTGCCATGCACAGGAATGTCCATAAATTGGGCTTCAGTCTGGGGAGGTGCCGCGCACAGGAATGTCCATAAATTGGGCTTTTGTCTGGGGAGGTGATGCGCACAGGAATGTCCATAAATTGGGCTTCTGTCTGGGTAGGTGCCGTGCACAGGAATGTCCATAAATTGGGCTTCAGTCTGGGGAGGTGATGCGCACAGGAATGTCCATAAATTGGGCTTCAGTCTGGGGAGGTGCCACGCACAGGAATGTCCATAAATTGGGCTTTTGTCTGGGAAGGTGATGCGCACAGGAATGTCCATAAATTGGGCTTCAGTCTGGGGAGGTGCCGCGCACAGGAATGTCCATAAATTGGGCTTCTGTCTGGGGAGGTGCCGCGCACAGGAATGTCCATAAATTGGGCTTCTGTCTGGGGAGGTGCCGCGCACAGGAATGTCCAGAAATTGGGCTTCTGTCTGGGAAGGTGCTACAGCACAAAAAAGTGCATTTAATACCCAACCACAGCACAGATCTGAACAGGACCAAGTGCTAAATGTGAGGATTCAACAAAAGTTTTTGCCAGTTCTGGTGAGGATTACATTAGGGTGTTGTATGCCCATAGGAAGGACTGATCAGAAGGGAACTGGCTTCGTTCAGTCATGTCTATCCTCTTTTTTTTTTCCTATAAGGATGTATTATATAAATGGTGCTGAACTTATTGACTTTGTGATACAATAGTGCGACTGATTCTCTTAGCAATACGTGGCAGTCACATGTATGATGCTTCAGTACAGTCATAATATGACAATGGCTCAGCACCTGCTTATCACATAAACAAGCATTGCATTTGAGCTTTACAGGGTCTTAACCCGGAAAAAAAAACAACACATTTACAATACTTTTAACTTTTTAGTTTTTGCTGTGTGAACCAGAATTTGAAAACAAGGCATTTTCTTACATAATACATTCTGTGAAGTCTATTTCTCATTTACAAAATGTTTTTGAAAAGTTATATAAATATGCTGAATGACGCAAACAATGGGATTTTTGTACTCACTATAAAATCTTTGTATTTGCATTCATTGAAGGACACGGCTGGAGTCATGGCGGATGGGTTTGATGCTGCCACCTACAGGAGTAGGGTGCTAGGTGCAACTAAAATTAAGCCTACAGGGCGCCCTCTGGTGGTGGCCAAATCCTTCAGCTGCAATGCCAGAATCAGCTGGTAGCCAGAAGGAAGAGGGCAGAAACCAGGCAAAAGAGACTGGATGGGTACTGTGTCCTTCAATGAACGGATTTTGCAGCGAGTATAAAAATCCCATTTTCTCAATCGTTCATTGAAGGACACAGCTGAAGTCATCGTGGGTGGGATGTCCCAAAGCAGTGCCAGAAAGACAGAAACAGAGGGGTGGGGGGGCACATAAACAAAACCAAGAACCGCAGAACTCAAACTGCCAAATGCAAACTTTCCGGCTATGCTGGCATCTGCTAAGACAACAACCTTAAAACAAAACTGTAAAAGTCAGAACCATCGACCAGTAGCAGCCTCAACCCTAAAAACAAAAACCATAAAAACCACCCCAAAAAACACAAATCCATTTTCGGGGAAAACAAAAAAGGGAGAAAACCCCTTTGCATCCCACTCCTGAGGACTCCAGGAACAAATGGATTCTGGTTATGCAGCTTTGGGGAAGGGGGGGGATGGGGAGCCACCACCAGAGGGCCGTCCCTTAGGCATGCTTTTTCTAGCATCCTGTAGGTGGCGACACCAAAGTGCTTCTAAAGCCTTAAGGATTTTTACCCTAATGCACTTTATGCATTAAGGAAAAAAAAAACCCTTTGTGTGGTAGGACTCCCCCCCTAATTATTTTCCAAACCTGATCTGCACCCAGCGATGTGCATGAGAGCAGCAGCTTTTGCTGCTATCTTCCTATTCGCTGAGCAGATTAATAGCAGACACTAGCTTCCGCTTCTGTCAATCAAATGCTGTGATGGGGGGGTGAGGCTGGGTCACCCAGTTTGTGTCAATAATTGAAGACAGAGCAGCTGGGGAGTGAGCCCACACAGGTGCCTCCATGGAAGGCAGCTTACCATGGGGGCACTTGCTGAAGAGGAGAAGCCTGGAGCACCGGCGGGAGACCCCAGAATAGGAAGGTTTAATGTTCCTTCAAACCCATCTGTGATGACTTCAGCTGTGTCCTTCAATGAGCGATGCAGAAATACAAAAATCCCCACCTTTTTGGCCTCCTTTACATCTTTTCATTTTGGTGTATTGCCATTAAAAGATAAGTTCACCTTTGTGAACATGTTACATCCATATTTAGGGTGCAACATGTAACACGTTCAGCATCTGCCTGCTCTTTTCCCCCCTCCCTGTGACAGCATGCCGGGGATCTTCCCCCCCCCCCCCCCTGCACCCGCTGTCACTTATCAAAAAGAACTCCGCCCACACGGCCGCATCATTCATTTACAGAGATCTGTGAATGAATGAGCTACAAGTACTGCCAGCCTTTGCGGCTGACTGCTTGTAGTTCTCAACCAAGGGCGGACTGACAACTCATGGGGCCCCCGGGCAACAGGGGATCATGGGGCCCCTGTGTCCTTGCCCAAACTCAAAAAAGCCTATGAAAAGGTACCAGGGGCATCTCATGGGGGCCCCCTACTGACCCCGGGCCCTCGGGCAGTGCCCAAGTTTCCAAATGGTCAGTCTGCCCCTGTTCTCAACTAACTACCTGACTGCCCATGAGAGCTCTAGGTAATTAACTGATCTTCCTGTCACTCAGTAACTGTCTACCACATTGGAGGTACGAGCAGACAACTACACAGACAGTCTGCAGGAGCCTGAGATCAGCAGATCACGGGTGTAATGCTTTACAGGCGCCTAAAAAATTATAATAAAAAATATTATTATTAATAAAAAATGCTAATATTTTTAACGGCAAAAAAATTGACATTTTTTACTTCCTTTTTTAAAAGGTGAACTTATCCTTTAAGGTATCTCACTCACATGAATGGGCTGCCAACCAAAAAAAAAAAAAAAAAGCACCTGAACTTTTTTCCCCGATGTAGTGCACCAAGCTATATGGTAATGCATTACTGGGTACCGTGTGCTGCGATGTAGGTACGCAGCCTGATTGCATTGAGGTGCCATTGAAAATGAAGGACACCACAAGGCTCTAGCGTGGGTAATGTGTGTTGCTGCGGGTGATATTTTCCTTCCAGTGTTTGAGGATGTATCAAATTCCCTGATTGGCAGAATTTTCCGGACACCAATGCAACTATTAATCAGAGTAATAATATTATAATAAAGTGAAGGCTGGTAGTTGCAGACTTTGCTGGATTTCTTTTTCAAAGCCCCGGTTCACACCAATGCGATTCGTCAACAGATTTGACAGAATCGCATGAAAAGTTGCACCTCCATTTGCGGCAATGGAACCAGTCAAATCGTTGCAATTCAAGTTGCAGGAACTTTGAAAAAGGTTCCTGCACTGCTTTTTCGGTGATTTCATAGCGGCTTGCATTGACTTCTGTTAAATGAAGTCGCGAGTGGCAATGAAATCGAACATCCAAATCGCACTGATCTGAGGTTCTGAAATTGAAGTAGTGCGATTTCAAAGCTGCACTGGTGTGAACCGGGGCTTAAAGACAATTCTACGCAGAAGGCGGAGCTAAGCCAAATCAATTGGCAGCAGAAATGGGCATATGACTGAAGGGAACCCAATTGTCTGCTGCGCATTACACCCACACACAATGTAAAGCGTGCATTCACACCTGCGAGCGCACTCTGCCTGCGATTAGATGCAAGAACTCCAAGTGGGGGTTCCTGCCAGTGGGCAGCCCCACTAAAAGCAATGGGGGGGCTGCTGGCTCTCGCAGCTAATCGCATTCACTCGTATGTAATCTCTTAAGTGGCTAACACATGCGAGTGATGGGCCCTGAATGTATACTGCCTGTGACACAGAACAAGTAAGAGTAAACGCAAAATAATTCCTACCTCGGCTTCCATTTCCTCTCCACTGCCAAGCTCTGTCAATCAGGTGGGAACTCGAGTTTGCTGAAAGAAATATTCAGCTCAAGATTTGAATAACTAGACGGGACTAATCAACCGTCCCGAGATTAAGTAACAAATTTAGAAAGAGGGGCGGGGAAGTGGGAGGGATTGGACATGTGATTTGATATTGACAGACACATTAACAGACAGAGAAAAGTTGAACGTAGAGGGCCCCAGAGTTTGACAGATGCAGAGGGGCCCAAGAAACTGACAGACATAGGGGGCATCAGAGTGCAAAAGAGGACACAATTGCTGCCGTCTTCTCTGTCTGCCTAATACTGAGAGCTGCGCTTACTATGCCAAGGGGTTCTATCGTCAAAATGTCAATGCTTTACAAGGATAAGGGCGCCTTTAGGGAAAAAAAAATAATAAAGGCGCATGTTTTTGCAGGGAAAAAGTGATTTTATTTTTTTTTTTCCCCCTAAGGAGCCTGAAAAGCATTGTACCTGTGATCAGTAGATCAGGGGTGCAATGCCAGACTCCTGCAGACAAGCCCTGCAGCTTTCAGCCCGTACCTTCATACGGGCCGACTGTTTACAAGCTGCAGAGCTTCTGAATGAACTACGAGGTCGCTCATTAGTGACCTGGAAGTCCATTTAGATAGCAATGGCTGACGATAGTTGTAGTTTGTGCATTCACAGGAAACTGAATGCGGCCGTCTGGGCACACAGCCATGTTATTTTCAAAATAGTGACAGCAGGCATACGGAGAAGATCCCCTGCTTGCTGTCACAGGGAGGAAGGGAAAAAGGGGAGGTCGGGGGAAGGGAAAAAGGGGAGGTCGGGGGAAGGAAAAAGGGGAGGTCGGGGGAAGGGAAAAAGGGGAGGTCGGGGGGAAGGGAAAAAGGGGAGGTCGGGGGAAGGGAAAAAGGGGAGGTCGGGGGAGGTCAGGGGAAGGGAAAGAGGAGGGAAGGAGAGGGCTGGGGAAGGGGGAGGGGGGTGAAGGGAGAGGGGGGGGGAGGGCGGGGGGCGGGGGAGAGGGAAGGGGAGGGCGGGGGAAGGGGAGGGGAAGGGGGGAGGGCGGGGGAAGGGGAGGGAAGGGGGAGGGGGGGCGGGGGAAGGGGAGGGAAGGGGGAGGGCGGGGGAAGGGGAGGGAAGGGGGGGGCGGGGCGGGGGAGGGGGGGGGGAGGGCGGGGGAAGGGGAGGGAGGGGGGGAGGGCGGGGAAGGGGAGGGAAGGGGGAGGGCGGGGGGTGGGCGGGTGGGAAGGGGGAGGGAAAGGGGGAGGGCGGGGGGAGGGAAAGGGGAGGGCGGGGGGAGGGAAAGGGGAGGGGGAGGGGGGAGGGGGAAAGGGGGAGGGCGGGGGGAGGGAAAGGGGAGGGCGGGGGGAGGGAAAGGGGAGGGAAAGGGGGGGAGGGGTGGGGGGGGGGGGAGGGAAAGGGGAGGGAAAGGGGGAGGGAAAGGGGAGGGAAAGGGGAGGGCTGCAGCTGCTGGAACACGTTACAGGTTCCACCCTAAATGTGAACTTTTCCTTTAATTACAATGGAGAGGAGTATAGGTATTAAGAAGAAGGGGAGGGTAGGATTAGGAGGGTGGTGGGACGAAGGGGGCTGGGGTTAAAAGGGTAGTAGGAGGAGGGCGGTGTGCATGGTATGGAAGGGGGGGGGGAAGGTGGTAGAGGAAGGGGGGAATGGGGGGGAGAGGGGAGGAAGGGCAGGGTGAAGAGGGCTGCAGAAGGAAGGAAGGGCAGGGTGAAGAGGGCTGCAGAAGGAAGGAAGGGCAGGGTGAAGAGGGCTGCAGAAGGAAGGAAGGGCAGGGTGAAGAGGGCTGCAGAAGGAAGGAAGGGCAGGGTGAAGAGGGCTGCAGAAGGAAGGAAGCAGGGTGGAGAGTGGGTGGTGTAAGATAAGAGTGAGCTGGGGGGGGGGGGGGGGGGGGGAGGTAAAGCTGCCAGGGTGGACAGCAGGGTGGGAATTTCAAGGAGTGGAGGGTCAGTTCTTTCAGTAAGCGTTCAGCCCTCAGTAGTAATCGGCAGACAGGATGATTCTCGGCCGCAGAGCCCCATACACAGACATGAGGGGATTCTCTTACCTGTAGTGACCTGTCCTTGTATGGCAGTGGTGATGGGCACCACATGTGTCCCGTTCTGTGTAACGGCTTTGATGGGGAGCTGGTGTTGACCTAGAGGGGCTTGCTGCACTATAGTAACCGTCTGGAGGGGGGCAGACGAAGAGGTCTGGATGATTCGGCTGGCTGTGCTGAGCGCTTGGTGGCTGATCGCAGGAATTGCTTCTACTTTCACTGCAGGGAAACAGACAGACAGCGGGAAGGTGAGAGTGTCTACAAGAGCAACAGGCATCAGCAAAATATATATATATTTTTTTATACATAGAGTTCGGTTGGGCCAAGTCATTACAGAGCGGGGTAAGAACATGGTGAAGTTGTAGACAAGATCTTTACAATGTAAGAAATCATTCTTTACACACACACTGTCCACACACTGACATCGCAGGTCTTACCTTTCACCTCTTTGTGATCTCCGTTCTCTTGCGGCTCTAGTTTAGGCTGGGCTACCATTGCGGCCTGGGCTACCATTGCCTGTCCCCCAACCGTGTAGGTGTTGACTGGAGCCAGGCCTGAAACATTGGTAACGGATACCGCAGGGATCTGGTGGACCACATGCACGGTCTGCATGACGGTCTGCTGCTGCTGGGAGGTGGTAACAGGGGTGGCCACTGTGTACGTCACTGGTTTTATAGTCTGGGGGAGCTGCCGTTGCACAGTGATGAGGACTGATTGGCTGGAGAGGGGGGATCCTGTATAAGAAGAAAAACCCGCATCAATGAGACGCCTTTATATCGAATATTCAGCATACGATCAGTAATCCAAAAAAAAAAAAAAAAAAAAAAAAAAATTGCCCGCTGTCAGGAATGACAAATATCCACTTCTCCAAATTCTGCTACTCCAGAGCTCAGGTACCCAGAACTAACATATAGCAGTGCCAGGTAACTTATTTTTTTTGTTATTAATATTTTATTACATTTTTCACATTTCATCCATTCCAACAGTAAAAGATAAAATTTCTTGTTGATCTATGTCATGAAAAAGTTTAAAAATACAAAACTTCCCTTTTATTTTTATTTTTTTTGTTAATATTTTATTAAATTTTAAGCCAGGTAACTTATAACAACTCCATGACTAATTTGTTTTATATTGAGGTGTGAAAACAAGGACGGCACACAGGTCCATATTCTTAGGTCCCCATCTTTCCAGGTGACAGACAGTGGCCTGAAGGAGCTGTATACCAAGCTAATGTCTAACCTCTCCGTGGGTCCATCGTTCTCACCTGGGGCGCTCTGTGCAAACCGCGCTTCCTGGATCACTGCAAGCTTTGGCTGGATGGCGCTTGGTTCCGGGTCCATCGGAACTGGCGAGCCTTCCCTGGACAGGCTCTCCGGGGTCTGGACTCCACTCGAGTGTGCCGACAAAACGCCGGAGTGGTTTGGAGATGCTGGTGCACTCCTACAGTACAGACAAATCAGAATGTAGACCTCCATAGATAGATACAGAGATGGCAATATTTATTTATTTCAGGTATTATACACACATGTTCCACTGTTGTCACCATCAGTACTCTCGCCCTGAGATATGACATGCAGCCATTTATTTTTATTTATTCCAGGTACTTATATATCGCCTTCAATTTACGCGCAGCACTTTACATATATATTGTACATTCACATCAGTCCCTAACCCTCAAGGGGCGTACAATCTAAGGTCCCTAACTCACATTCATACATACACATACTAGGGACAATTTAGACATCCAATTACCCTACCAGCATGTCTTTGGAGCGTGGGAGGAAACCGGAGTACCCGGAGGAAACCCACGCAGGCACAGAGAGAACATGCAAACTCCAGGCAGGTGGTGCCGTGGTTGGGATTCGAACCGAAGACACGAGTACTGCCAGGCGGAAGTGCTAACCATTTAGCCACTGTGCTGCCCATATGCAGTGTACATGATGGGCACATATTAGATGGGGCCCCAGCAGATGAGAGTTTAGACATACCCAACGCAGAACAAAAAACGTAATCTATTACAATAATCGGGTTTTAGATGTGGTGACTATTAGTTTTATTTTCTGGGCTATTAAAATTTTTTCTAAAGTCGAACTACAGTCAAATCCCCCCCAATCTTGGATAGAGCAAGGGAGAGATTTAACCCGTCAGATTTTTTTTTCACTGTCTGTGTCTCATTGCGGAGATTTCCCTTCACTTCCTGTCCCACAGCCAAAAAGGAAGTGAGAGGAAATCACTGTAAATTAACCTCTTGCCTACCGGGCACTTTTACCCCCTTCCTCCCCAGGCTAAGTTTCAGCTTTCAGCGCTGTTGCATTTTGAATGACAATTGCGCGGTCATGCAACACTGTACCCATATGAAATTTTATAATTTTTTCAAACAGAGCTTTTTTTTGGTGATATTTAATTACCACTGGGTTTTTATATTTTTTTGCACTAAGAACGAAAATTTTGAAAAAAATAAAAAAAAAAAAGTTTTTTTTGTTTCTATTATCAAATTTTGCAAACAGGTAGTTTTTTTCGCCTTCACTGATGTGCGCTGATGAGGCTGCAGTGATGGGGGCAATGATGGGCACTGAAGAGCACTAATAGGTAGCACTGATGGGCACTTGGGGCTGCACTGATAATCAGTGCAGATGTCTGCTTTGACAGCCACCGGTTACTGGCATTACATTCCTCACTGACAGCGTGAGGAGAGTACTGCCGATAACCGGCAAGTGTATTTACATAGTGGCCAGCTGTGATTGGACACAGCTGATCGGGTGGTAAAAGGCTGTTGTGACTGGCCTTTTACCGTGTCATGTGATCAGCTCACAGACAGCGCCGGGTGCGTTCTAGGAGGACGTCTTATGACTCCCTCCCAGAACTGGATGACCATGCTGTAGCTGTCACTCGGTGTATATATATATATATATATATATATATATATATATACACACACATATATACATACATACATATACACATACACACACACACATATACATACATATATACACACACACATATATATATTTACACATACATACACATATAAATACACACACACGTTCCCGAGCCCCGCTCTCTGCGTCCATAAGACAGCACAGCGGGACTCAACACCCCCTCCTTACAGGCTGATTGACAGAAGCAGAAGCCAATGGCTCAGCCAATGAGGAGGTAGAGACCTGGGAAATCCGAGTCTCCTGTACACATTGCCAGACCAAGTGCAGTGTTTGTAGTTCAAAATTAGAAGACAGCAGCCTGGGGAAACAACACTGCTCCATAGATATAGTGCCTGGATCTGGAAGGATCGGCAGCCTGGGGAAACAACACTGCTCCATAGATATAGTGCCTGGATATGGAAGGATCGGCAGGTTCAAAAAAATGAATGCAGCCACAACTGCAAGGACTGGTAAGGTGCTACGTATTGTGTTTTTGGGTTAAGATACCCTCTAATGTATAGTTTTCATTCAGTTGAACGGACCCTAAACACGATGTTAGCGTCAAGTCAGAGCATGAAAAGTCACACTTGGACAGTAAGAATAGCCAGACGCTTAGCTCATTTGAGAAAGGAGGAAATTAGCGACCAATTGGGAAAATCCAGGAAGGCCTGCCAATCTCTCCTCTCGGAACAATCGGCAGGGTCCTTTGACCTGGCGGAGTCTGGTTTACATTATCCTATACACAGTATAGACATTTCCAGACATGTGCTCAACCACAGCCATGGTAAGAAGCCTGCAGAGTAGCAACAAACACCAGCAGAGGGCGCCGGGCACAAGAGCAGCTTGGAAGTGCGATGAATTCCAGGCACGGATGAGTAATGCGTTGCCTTGGAAAGGATATCAGAGAAGGGCAGGAGAGAGGCAGACAATGGCTAATGTGGAAAGCAGTGCTGTTCAGCCACATGTACAGCCGCTCAACTCACACAAGAGGCCTAAGTGGGGTGTGAGGACAGATAAGGGGGATAGAGGCAAGCAACATACAATGATCTCACTACACGCAGGAACATGGAATCAGAGAATAGGAAACGCATAGAATGGAGGCAGATACATGACAGGGGTGAACAAATACACCCATCACTTCTCTAAAAAAAAACAAACGCATAGCTGAATGCTACATACATGTACAGTATAAAACACAAGCCAGGACAGTATTATAAATATGAAGGGTCTCGGTGATGTCACTGGTCTCCATATTCATGAGAACTCAATCTATCACTGGAGACCAGTGACATCACCGAGACCCTTCATATTCATGAGAACACAGCCTATCCATCACTAGAGACCAGTGACATCACCGAGACCCTTCATATTCATGAGAACGCATCTTATTCATTAACTAGAGACCAGTGACATCACCGAGACCCTTCATATTATTATTATTATTATTATTTATCGAGTTTATATAGCGCCAAAGGGTTTGCTCAGCGCTGTACAATAGAGGGGGGACAATACATGAAACAGTACAGTAACATCAAACAGTACACAAGGGGTAAGAGGGCCCTACTCTTTCGAGCTTACAATCTAGGAGGGAGGGGGTAGAGGTACAGGAGGAAACGGCAGGCTTCCCTGAAGAGGTGGGTTTTCAGGAGCGCCTGAAGGTGAGGAGGGAAGGTGACAGTCTGATGGATTGGGGTAGTGGTGAGTTCCAGAGGATGGGGGAGGACCTGGAGAAGTCTTGCAGTCGTGCGTGGGAGGAGGAGACCCAGGGAGCAAGATAGAAGGAGGTCCTGTGAAGAGCGAAGGGTACGGGTAGGGTGGTACTTGGGAATACAGGTCGGTGAGGTAGTTAGGGGCAGTGTTGTGAATGGCTTTATAGGTCAGAGTGAGCAGATTATTTGAATATAATGCGTTGGGCAATGGGGAGCCAGTGGAGGGGAGAGGCAGAGGGGGGTGGCAGACGGGTGGAGCGGCTGGTGAGGTGGATGAGTCTGGCAGCTGAGTTCAGGAGGATGGTCTGAAGCGGGGGGAGAGTTGCACTGGGGTAGGCCGATGAGGAGGGAGTTGCTAGTAGTCAAGGCGTGCAGATAATCATGAGTCTCACAGTGAGATGTACTCGTCAGGTAAGTAGCGTGTGGTGGCGATGTCTAGTAGTTATTTAGTGGTGTCTGGGTGTAAGAAGGAGCGTATTTTGCGATGTTGCGAAAGGTGGAGCCTGCATGTATTTGTGAGTGATTTGACATGAGGTTGGAAGGAAAGGTTTGAGTCCAGAATGACGCCAAGGACCTTGGCTTGCTGGCGGGATTGATGGTGGTGTTGTTGGTAGTGATGGAAAGGATGGGGGGGGGGGCACGGGAAGGGGGTAAAGACGAGAAGCTCGGTTTGGAGACGGTTGAGTTTGAAGGGAAATGGGAGCGACATCCAGTCAGAGATGTCGTTTTAGGAGGTGAGTGATATGCGGGCGGAGAATGTGGGGGTGAGGTGAGGGGGTGGATAGGTAGATTGAGTATCATCAGCATAGAGGTGGTAGTTGAAAGCCGTGGGAGTGTATGAGTTTGCCACCGGGAGGAGGTGTAGATGGAGAAGAGAAGGGGTCCAAGGACAGAGCCCTGGGGGATCCCAACAGAGAGGGGGAGGAAACCGCAGAGAGAGCTGTGAAGCAGGAGGGTGGCTGCCGTTGTAGGAAACGCTGAAGGAGCGTTGGGATAGATAGGACGAGAACCAAGAGAGAGCGGTGTCTGGACTCTGATGCCAAGGGAGAGTAGTTTATTAAGGAGGAGGGGGTGGTCGACTGTGTCAAAAGCCGCAGAGAGGTCTAGGAGGAGGAGGACCGAGTAGTCGCCTTTTGGTATTATTGGCGGTTAGTAGATCGTTGGTGATTTTTGAGGAGGCAGTTTTCGGTGGAGTGTAGGGGGACGGAAGCCGGACTGTAGTGGGTCAAGGAGGTTGTTGTCAGTTAGGTGGGCGCTTAGGCGATCATAGACCAAGCGCTCAAGGAGCTTTGGACATGAGTGGCAGCAGGAAATTGGTCTGAGGTTGTTGAGGTCAGTGGGGGGTCCAGGGAGGGCTTTTTTTGAGTATGGGGGTGATGTGCGCATGTTTTAGGGGGGAGGGGAAGACGCCAGTAGCGAGGGAGAGATTGAAGATGTGGGTAAGGGAGCGGATGAGGGAATGAGGGGGGTGACCGGAGGAGTTGAGAGGGGATAGGGGTCCAGGGGGCAGGTAGTGAGGGGGCCGGCGGGCTTCTGAGAAGACTCCTGGTGACTTCCTCACTGGTAGTAGGGGCTGAAGGAGTGCAGTGATGGGGGGGTTACGGTAGGCAGGGCCTTGGGTGTGGTGTGGGGCCCCGCAGTGCCGTTGCAAGGTCAGAGGAGGGGAGAGATGAGAGGTGATGGAAGGGGAGAGGCTAGATGGGGAGGTAGACTGCAAGTTGACTATGTCCCTTGCGGATTGCGTCAATCATTGCTATGGAGATGATGGCAATCTCGTGGGCGGTAAGTGAGGTACTGAGTGGAGGAGGGGGGGAGAGAGCAGGGAGTTGAAGGTGGAGAAGAGTCGGCGAGGGCAGTTTGAGAGGGTGTTGATGATGTTCAACGAAGTAGGCCAGGCTTAGAGGGAGAATGATGAGCGGGCGTGGAGGGAGGAGGTGTAGGTGAGGAAGCAGAATTGTTAGAGGGAGAATGCATGAGGGGACCTGGTTTTGCGCCATAGTCTCTCCAGCGCACGACTGAGCGTTGTACGTTTGAGGCATTTAGTGTGGTCGTTCTGCCATGGTTGGAGCGGTTCTGGGTGACTTTGATGTTGCGTGTGGTTGCTTGTTAGGGGTGCCAGAGAGTCTAGAAAGGGTGGCTGATAGTGTGAGAGATCGTTGTACGCCGGTGGTGGGCTAGGTCAGGACAAGACAGTGGAAGGATGCTGTCGTGCAAGCGGAGTCGGCATATATATTCATATTCAAATTCATAGAGGACACAGCTATCCGATTACTAGAGACCAGTGACAGCATCACCGAGACCCTTCAGGATTCATGGAGAACACAGCCTATCCATTACTAGAGACCAGTGACATCACCGAAAACCCTTCATATTCATGAGAACACAGCCTATCCAATCACTCAGAGACCAGTGACATCACCGAGACCCTTCATATTCATGAGAACACAGCCTATCCATCACTAGAGACCAGTGACATCACCGAGACCCTTCATATTCATGAGAACGCAGCCTAACCATCAATGGAGACCACTGACACATCACCGAGACCCTTAATATTCATGAGAACTCAGCCTATCCATCATTCGAGACCAGTGACATCACCGAGACCCTTCATATTTGGTGATGTCACTGGTCCTCCAGTGATAGGTTGAGTTCTCATGAATATGAAGGGTCTCGGGATTGATGTCACTGGTCTCTAGTGATGGATAGGCTGTGTTCTCATGATATGAAGGGTCTCAGCACGCTATCCATCACTAGAGACCAGTGACATCCCCAAGACCCTTCATAATTCATGGAGAACTCAACCTATCACTGAAGACCAGTGACATCACCCAAATATGAAGGGTCTCGGTGATGTCACCTGGTCTCGAAATGATGGATAGGCTGTGTTCTCATGAATATTAAGTGGTCTCGGTGATGTCACTGGTCTCTAGGATGGATAGGTGGTGTTCTCATTAATATGAGGGGTCTCCGGTGGATGATCACTGCTCCCTAGCAAATGGATAGGCTGCATTCTTGTGAATATGAAGGGTTCCAGCAGTGATGTCATATGGTCTTTAATAATGGATAGGCTGTGTTCTAATGAAGGGTCTTGGTGATGTCACTGGTCTCTAGTGATGGATAGGCTGTGTTATCATGAATATGAAGGGTCTTGGTGATGTTACTGGTCTCGAATGATGGATAGGCTGCATTTTCATACATACTAAATGGTCTTGGTCATATCACAGGTCCTCTAGTGATTGACAGGCTGAGTTCTCAGAATATGAAGGTCTCAGTGATGTCACTGATCTCCAGTGATGGATAGGCTGTCATTCCCATGAATATAAAAGGTCTCGGTGATATCAACTGGTCTCTAGTGATTGTGACAGGCTGAGTTCTCATGAATATGAAGGGTCTCGGTGATGTCACTGGTACTCTAGTGATGGATAGGTGGTATTCTCTATCAAGAATATGAAGGGTCTCGGTGCTGTCACTGGTCCCTAGTGATGGATTGGGTGGTATTCCTCATGAATATGAAGGGTCTCGTGTGTGTCACAGGTCTCTAGTGATGGATAGGTGGTATTCTCATGAATATGAAGGGTCTCGGTTGATGTCACTGGTCTCTAGTGATGGATAGACTGTGTTCTCATGAATATGAAGGGTCTCAGGTGATGTCACTGGTCTCTAGTGATGGATAGGTGGTATTCTCATGAATATGAAGGGTGTCTCGGTGGTGTAACTGGTCTCTAGTGATGGATTAGGCTGTGATTCTCATGAATATGAAGGGTCTGCGGTGATGTCACTGGTCTCTAGTGAACGTATAGGATGTGTCCATGTAAAGTGTCTCAGTACTGTTACTGGTAACTAGATTAAGGAGTAGGTGCCCATCTAAAATAATTTCACTGTGTATAACTGCTGTACATTGCAAATGATTTCCCCATTTTGGACAAGATCTGTGACCTATTTAAGCACATGACCTTGCCCCATTCTGTACCTGACAGTATAATTGTGTATAGATAAGGACAGGAGGTTTACATGACAGGGAACAGCAACTTGCATTGGCTTCCCATATCGTAAGCGTTGACTCGATGCACTAAAAGACAGTGAAGGGTATTGATCTTCTCTTTATGGATGGCATAACAAGACAAGAATCAAACCTCTTCACACCTCCACCAACACAAGGTGCCGGGATAATAGGGAGTCATAGGATGCTGACACTGCTGAAGTGTAAATGGTTATATATAATGCAGAGAGGAAATAGGCGCTGTGCATCATTCCACAAACAGGCCCCAATGATCGTGCTTTCTGTACCAAGGCCGTCCGTCCACTTCTTACCTGAGGAAAGGGGTCCTAAGGGGGTCCTGAAACACGGCACACCCCGGGGCCTTCGTTTTCTAAAAGCTTAGCTCTATAAGTTTGCTCTCGGACGCTGGGTCTATCCTCCAGAAGATCCTTTGCCAGGCTCCTCCTGGGATCGTGGGAACTTTGATAAAATACCGGATGAGAGAAAGGTTGTGACGGATAGAATTTCTAAAAACACAGAAAATTAGAATTATCATCAAACATTTATGTGAAAAAAATCATCGCGAATGTCAGTACTGAGCCCTTGTGGTTACTAACAAACACAGGGCTCTGATACACAGAGATGTGGCTGTTCTTTTCTCCCTGCACAACAGAGATAAAACAGTCACATCTCTTAGTAAATGCAAACACACATCACACATTGCTAGACAGTTAAAACCCTTTGATTGACCCTAGATGCTAACTCCTTCCCACGCGATCACTGTATTAGTGTTACTGAAGATGCCCGTGTCAGTTGGAGTCACATTGCCCGCCGCACTATCACAGACAGTCCCGTAAAAAATATTGGGGGGTTTCTGCCAAAATTTCGGTCTATTTTCATTTATATATTAAAAAATAAAAAACCTCAATGGTGATCAAGTACAACCAAAAGAAAGCTCTGTGTGAAAAAAATTATATAAATTTAATTTGGGTACAATGTTATTATTATTATACAGGATTTATGGCACCAACAGATTGCTCAGCACTTTACAATATAAAAGAGACAATACAGCAACAATACAGTTCAATACAAGAGGGATAGGAGGGCCCTGATCCTAGGAGCTTACAATCTAACAGTGTTGCATGACTGTTCAATTGCCAGCTAAAGTAGCACAGTGCTGAACAACAAAAAAAAAATGGCCTGGTCATGAAGGGGATCAAATCTTCCAGAGCTGAAGTGGTTAAGATGTACTAAAGATAAACGTGGTCTGTTACCAAAAATAAAATAAAATAAATATATATATATATTTATTTGAGGTAACAGACCATCTTTATCTGTACATCTTAACTACTTCAGCTCTGAAAGAATTGTTCCCTTTCATGACCAGGCCATTTTTTGCTATTCAGCACTGCGCTACTTTAGCTGGCAATTGCACAGAACCAAGCCTCTCTATGCTAAGTTGAGTGTTGTCATGCTGGGACAAGAAGCATGTTACTGGCAGTAGGATCACCAGGGGAAAAAATAGCTGGAAGAGTGAAATCAAACTCAGCCACTACATCAAAGGATTGGTAAGCTGCAAGTTTTTTTTTTTTTTTTATATATTTTTGTTCTTAGTTTTAAACACACTTTAAGGAAACCAGACAAATCCTAGAAATCAAATATCGGATTTACACAGTTGATAAAACTTCAGCATATTGCCAAAGAACATTACACCTTTCAAACCCTGACCCTAAAGAACTCTGACATTCCAATAAGCTGAACACATACGTTTATATAGCTCTGACATATTCCAGGGTGCTGTACAGAGAACACTGAGCCAGTCACATCATTCTCTGCACCAGAAGAACTTACACTCTAATGTCATACACCGTGTCATACACGATTGTTGCTGTATAGATTGTAAGCTCCCAGGATCAGGGCCCTCCTAACCCTCTTGTATTGAACTGTATTGTTGCTGTATTGTCTCCCGTTATATTGTAAAGCGCTGAGCAAACTGTTGGCGCCATAAATCCTGTATAATAATTATATTATACATTTATATAGCTCTGACATATTCTGTAGTGCTGTACAGAGAACACCGAGCCAATCACATCATTCTATCCTGCCCTCAGCTAATAATGGAATCTTCTACTCTTCCTACCAGTCCATTCCCCACAGTTACTACCTTTTGTACGACTAGCCCCTCCCTCCTAGATTGTAAGCTCCCAGGATCAGGGCCCTCCTATCCCTCTTGTATTGAACTGTATTGTTGCTGTATTGTCTCCCTTATGTTGTAAAGTGCTGAGCAAACTGTCGGCGATATATAAATCCTGTATAATAATAATAATAATAATAATAATTCTCTGCACCAGAAGAGCTTACACTCTAATGCCTCACCACAGTCATACACTATATAGATTGTAAGCTCCCAGGATCAGGGCCCTCCTATCCCTCCTGTATTGAACTGTATTGTTGCTGTATTGTCTCCCGTTATATTGTAAAGCGCTGAGCAAACTGTTGGTGCAATAAATCCTGTATAATAATAACATAGATTGTAAGCTCCCAGGATCAGGGCCCTCCTATCCCTCTTGTATTGAACTGTATTGTTGCTGTATTGTCTCCCGTTATATTGTAAAGCGCTGAGCAAACTGTTGGCGCTATGTAAATCCTGTATAATAATAACAGATTGTAATAGGATCAGGTCCTCCTATCCCTCTTGTATTGAACTGTATTGTTGCTGTATTGTCTCCCGTTATATTGTAAAGCGCTGAGCAAACTGTTGGCGCCATATAAATCCTGAATAATATTAATATTATACATTTATATAGCTCTGACATTCTGTAGTGTTGTACAGAGAATACAGCCATTCACAGTGAAAATGGTGACACTTTGCTTCGGTCCTTAGCAGTCACACTGCTATGAAGTGAAGTTAAAATCTCTTCTTTCCACCGAAAATTTAATCTGGCCATTGTCAGCCTGACATGACACATCACTGACAACTCCAGCCGCTCCCTAACAAAGCCAGAAGGCATGGGAGAAGGTGAGGCTACAACAAGATGACATGTAGGAAGGGGCTCTGGCCTCCTGCGCGAGGATCAGGTTTAGCGGAGAACCTCTATGTGCAAAAGCCAGCATTGTGTTTTTATCATGTGCACAGGTTTTTTTTATTCGGTCAGTACTTACAACCTCAGTGAAACGTACCCGGGTAAGTGCGTGAAGCCCCCCCAGACCCGATAATTGATGTGCCGATAAGCAGCATCATGAAAGCGAAGTGCTGAGTCAGCTCAGGAAGGAACAGACGTGTCCACACAAGAAAGGATCAAAACGACAGACTGATATCAAGCACACCTTCAGCCAAAACAAACCCTCGTGGAAGCCCGCGGCCATCTCACACCGCACTGGACAGACGATGGATGTTTCCAGAGTAAAAGGAAATGGACAGTGAGGCAGCCACAAAGGTGAAAAGTCGCCAACTTGACAGATCGTTCTCAGCATGCAGACACTGTTTTGTCTGTTCTCCTGGCTGGAGATGAATACCTTGTCACCAACTGTACACAGATATACGGCCTCACTGAACTGGGTCTACTGTGTGGCCGCTTATATGCATACATATCTTTCTGCTGGGAGCACACTGCACAGGGTACTCCCAGCACAGGGACTGAGCTATCACTGAGAGCCCCAAGTGTCTTGTACTAGCAATTGGGAACCAGAAACCCGATCCCTGTGATAGCCTCTGTTTTATCACAGCGATTAAGCCAGGCATGTCCAAAGTCCGGCCCGCGGGCCATTTACGGCTCGGGGGTCGGTTTAATACGGCCCTCCAACAGCCCTCCCTGCTCTGTGTAATGTGGCCCTCCCTTCTATGGCAGACAGTCTTCTGCTTGAGAGCAGAGGACAGTGCGCATGCCTGACTGCGGTACGTTCTCCCTGGTCTGTGTAAATGCGGCTGTCGCACGGCCCTCCCTTCTGTGGCAGACAGTCTTCTGCTTGAGAGCAGTGTGCATGCGTGACTGCGCCGCGCTGGGAGCGACAGAGGGCGGTGTCGTCAGGGCCGGGCTTCCAGCGTGAAGTGTGTTTCTCTTCCCCTCCCGGCTGCTGAGCAGAGACTTCAGCTCCAGCTACCTTTTTCACCCTTCACATTAGTGCAGGTAAGTTTTTTTTAAAATTTATTTTCAATACATTGTGAAAACTCAGCTGTCAGTTGATCTTAATGTTATGAAATGAAAAGTATGTCGTTTGCAATTAACTTGGCAAAAAATAATTTATTTGCATTTAATTGTAATGGTTCAAAGAATGTTCGGAAAAATGTTCGGCCCTCCACCATGTTCACTTCATCCAATCTGGCCCTCTTTGAAAAAAGTTTGGACACCCCTGGATTAAGCACTGTAAAGCCTGTTCCTGTGTGCACTTTCTCCTCTGAATGGACAAAAAGATATATTGTACAACAAACAAGTGTGAAAAAAAGTTAAAAAAAAAATGGCTAGATCAGGGTTTGCGCAAGATGTCAGGGTTAAAGTTATGCAGGCCATAGACAGGTCGTTTATCAGCCACATTTCCGACCGCACGAAAAATCGGCCGATATTCACGCCGTTAGTGGGCCCAGCCCATCGGCCGTTTTTCGCGGATCTCCTAATTTATTTTTATCGGACATGCTGGAAAATGGCTGTTTTTCGTGGACATTGGTGTCAGCATCAGCAACGGGCCCATCTATGGCCTGCATTAGGGTCAAGGTCAGGGTATTTTAGCTTGGATTTAATTTAAAAAAAAAAAAAAAAAAGTATTTAAAAAGAACAAAAAAAAAAAAAAAATGGAGCTGGCAAGGGAGAGAACTGTGTTGTTTACATACAGTTCTCTCCCTCCATCTGTAATGCTCCTCAAACACCAGGTGCCAGAGAGTAACCACCGTCCGGGACCCGGTGGTTGACAGCAGAGGCCACGAACAGCAGCGTGGGAAGGGCGCACGCCCCCTACCCGGAAATGCAAAATCACGTGTATAAATACACGTGATTTTGCGCACCCATCGCTCTGTAGCAGTATATCTGCTATAGGGCGGTGGGAAAGCAGTTAAAGGGACATCACAATATTCTGACTTTTCTTACTGAACAAAAAATACAATATATTGCAGATGGACAGTCCTTGGATATGGTGGCTACGTTTTTTCCCCCCACTAATTTTACCTGCTGATCCTGCCAGCAAAGCATGTCCTGTCCTAGATGCAAAGCTCACTCAATACTAAATAAAGCTGTTCATTTAGCAAAGTGGATGGTGGTGAACTGTTTGCAAACCGAAGATGAAGGTGTGTTCATTTCAGCGAACCAATCACGGGCAACCAAAAACCTGCACTTCAAAATACTATTGGGGTTGATTTACTAAAACCGGAGAGCGCAAAATCGGGTGCAGCTCTGCATAGAAACCAATCAGCTTGCAGGTTTTATTGGCAAAACGTAATGGAACAACCTGTAGTTAGAAGCTGATTGGCACAGCTGCACCAGATTTTGCACTCTCCAGTTTTAGTAAATCAATCCCTGTGTGTCTGGCCTACAGTGTACACCCCCCCCACCCCCTCCACAACCCATTCTCCGGCTCTACACCCCCTCACACTTCCTGGGCACTTACCTGCCAGCCTTTGTCCGCTGTTCTATAGTAGGGGTAGTTTTTCGTTATGTGCGTGTAGATACCATTTAAGGTGAGCTGCTTGTCTGGGGCCATGGTAATTGCTTGTACTATTAGCTGTGCGTAAGAGTACGGGGGCTTCGAGTCATCCTAGAAGGAGAAGATTCATCAACACATATGTAATAATGAGGGGTACAGACGATAGACGGGGAAAGCGGAGATAAGAGGTTACCTTGGGGCTGTCTCCACCTGAAGCTTCTTTGTCATTCTCCAAATGGGAATTGTCAGAGATCAGGTCTGCAGATATAACACGGCCCATTTTATACCCAGATGAGCCAGCACCACGGGGGCTAGAGGGGCAAGAGTTTGCAGCGCTACATGGAGAAAGGGAGAGAAATATTCAATGAACTAAACATCAATAATTGTTTTAAAAAAATCAACTCTCCAAACAGAAATTTGCAATGTATATGTAAACGGTTTACGCCATCTTTTTGCGGTAACCTTTGTGCGGTAACGAGCGGTATGGTGCGTTGGTATGGTGCAGCGTCATTCATTTTAATTTGGTCGGAAAGAATATAATTATTATTATTATACAGGATTTATATATTATTATACAGGATTTATAGCACCAACAGTTTGCTCAGCACTTTACAATATAACGGGAGAAAATACAGTAACACTACAGTTCAATACAAGAGGGAACGGAGGGCCCTGATCCTGGGAGCTTACAATCTAAGAAATGGCAAAAATGGGCCCTCAGACTGTAGTATGGGGAGACCAACTGCTATGGTGAAATCTCAACATTGTGGGAGGGACAGAAGCACAAACTGCAGCAGGCAACGCTCATCACTGAGGGAGGGGCAGAGACGCAAACTACCACAGAGAAATCTCACCAGAGATGTTCCCATAGTAGTCTCTTTTTACCCCTCTCACAATGACCAGAGCTTTTATTTCTGCAGCAGTTTGCCTGTCTCTGCCCCTCCCACAATGGTGAAAATTTCCTGGCCGTTGATTTTTTTTTTTATTGGCCCCTCCCACAACGGGAAGACTTTCCCTGTATTTGTTTGTGCATTTATCCCTCTAATACAGTGATCGATACATGTAATAATTTGTGTCTCTACCCCTCCCACAATGGGGAGATTTCCTTGCAGTAGTTTGCATCCCTGCCCCTCCCACAATGGGGAGATTTCCTTGCAGTAGGTTGTGACTGCCCCTCCCACAATGTGGAGATTTCCTTGCAGTAGTTGTGCATCCCTGCCCCTCCCACAATGGGGGAGATTTCCTTGCAGTAGTTTGCATCCCTGCCCCTCCCACAATGGGGAGATTTCCTTGCAGTAGTTTGCATCCCTGCCCCTCCCACAATGGGGAGATTTCCTTGCAGTAGTTTGTGTCTCTGCCCCTCCCACAATGGGGAGATTTCCTTGCAATAGCTTGTGTCCTCTGCCCCTCCCACAATGGGGAGATTTCCTTGCAATAGTTTGCATCTCTGCCCCTCCCACAATGGGGAGAGGTTTCCTGCCCCTCCCTCGGGGCAGTAGTTTGTGTGTCTGCCCCTCCCACAACAGGGAGATTTCCTTGCAATAGTTTGTGTCTCTGCTCTTCCCACAATGGACAGATTTCTTTGCAGTAGGTTGTGACTGCCCCTCCCACATCGGGGAGATGTCCTTGCAGTAATGTGTCTCTGCCCCTCCCACATCGGGGAAATTTCCTTACAGTAATTTGTGTCTGTGCCCCTTTTGCAATGGAAGATTCCTTGTAGTAGTAGTTTGCATCTCTGCCTCTCCCACAATGGGAGATTTCCTGCAGTAGGTTGTGACCGCCCCTCCCACAATGGGAGATTTCCTGCAGTAGGTTGTGACCGCCCCTCCCACATTGTGGAGATTTCCTTGCAGTAGGTTGTGACCGCCCCTCCCACATTGTGGAGATTTCCTTGCAGTAGGTTGTGACTGCCCCTCCCACATTGTGGAGATTTCCTTCCAGTAGGTTGTGACTGCCCCTCCCACATTGTGGAGATTTCCTTGCAGTAGGTTGTGACTGCCCCTCCCACATTGTGGAGATTTCCTTGCAGTAGGTTGTGACTGCCCCTCCCACATTGTGGAGATTTCCTTGCAGTAGGTTGTGACTGCCCCTCCCACATTGTGGAGATTTCCTTGCAGTAGGTTGTGACTGCCCCTCCCACATTGTGGAGATTTTCCTGCAGCAGTCTGTGACTGCCCCTCCCACATTGTGGAGATTTCCTTGCAGTAGGTTGTGACTGCCCCTCCCACATTGTGGAGATTTCCTTGCAGTAGGTTGTGACTGCCCCTCCCACATTGTGGAGATTTCCTTGCAGTAGTCTGTCTGCCCCTCCCACAATGAAGAGATCTGCACGCCTACATTTGTGTATTCCCCCACCCACAAGGCCATAGTGAAAATGTCAGCCGTCCTTCTCTCACATCTCCTTTGGCCTTCCCAATCAGATTATTCTGCCATTGAAGGAAGCGCTCGCCATCCCTATGGTCTTGTGGTCACGGCACCTGTTAGGTGAGATCTCAAGTCAGACTTTGAAAACAGGAAATATAGAAAAACCTTCTACAACCAGAACGAGACATTTAATGAGAATTTGTCTTTACAAAAAAAAAACAAGGCCGCCCACCGTAGGCAATGGCTGACTCGGATGATCGCTTTGTTTATGGATCCTTATCCCGGGAAAGTAGAACCGTCTGTGTTTAGATTATAACAAACAAAAGAAAAGAGGAAATAACTGGAACACGATGAAAGGCCGATCTTGTACTCTGCTGTGTTCGCTGCCTTCTTCGCCCGACTAGTCCCCAGCGGGGATCCGGCACCAATCACAGCTCCAACCTTCAGTCACATGTGTGCGATTGTTACAGGATAGATCGCTGCACTCATCTGTATTACAGGGTCTGGTTTGTTAGCTTGGATAGAAAACTAAAGAAATAAAACCAGTCCACTTATTTCTCTTGTGTCGTACAGAAATGTCCCTGTCCCGGAAATGAAAGGATATCCCAATAAAGTTGAAGTAGCTGTAAAGGTTTTTTTTTTTTTACCTTCCTGCAATTCTATGAGCTGCTCCCCCCACAGCCCTCCTAATACTCATCTGAGCCTCAGCACACTCCAGCAAAGTGCAAGGGAGCCTCGGCTGTCCCGGGGTCCCTCTCCTTATTGGCTGAGACAGCAGCGGGAGCCACTGACTCCCACTACTTTCAATCACGGCCAGTGAGCCTAGAGCATGGCTCCAGAGCGAGCACGCACCAGAACCCCCATAGCAAGCAGCTTGCTATTGATAGCACTGGTCAAGGGGGTGGAGTCAGGAGCTCCGGTAGGGGACCTGAGAAGAGGATCGGGGCTGCTCTGTGCAAAACCATTACACAGAGCAGGTAAAGTATAACATTTGTTTAAAAAAAAAAAAAGCCAAACCTTTAATATAACTTTAATCAGGCACCAAATTAAAGCTGATCTTGAGGTTCTAGAAAAGTTAAAATAATTTGTATAGACCAAGTTGGTCCAAACTGTACTATTTCTAGATTGTAAGCTCCAAGGATCAGGCCCCTCCTATCCCTCTTGTATTGAACTGTATTGTTGCTGTATTGTCTCCTGTTATATTGTAAAGTGCTGAGCAAACGGTTGGCGCCATAAATCCTGTATAATAATAATAATAATAATAAATAATAATAATAAATCCTGTATAATAATAATAATAAATAAATAAATCCTGTATAATAATAATAATAATAAATAAATACTGTATAATAATTTTACTTCATTAACAAATGCTGTGGCTGCCGTATACAGTATATGAAGCCCCAGCTACATTCACTATATTGCCAAAAGTATTGGCCCCGCCCTCCCAATCGTGATTCAGATGTTCCAATCACCTCCATGGACACAGGTGGATACAATCAGCCCCTAGGCATGCAGACGGCTTCTACAAACATTGGTGAAAGAATGGGTCGCTCTCAGGAGCTCAGTGACTCCAAGCGTGGTCCCGTGATAGGTGATCACCTGTGCAATAAGTCCATCCGTGACATTTCCTGGCTACTAAATATTCCACGCTCAACTGTTAGTGGGATTATAACAAAGTGGAAGCAACTGGGAACAACAGCCACTCAGCCACCAAGTGGTAGGCCACGTCACATGACAGGGTGGGGTCAGCGCATGCTGAAGCGCACAGTGCGCAGAAGTCGCCAACTGTCTGCAGAGTCAATAGCTAAAGACCTCCAAACTTGGTGGGGCCTTCAGATGAGCCCAACAACAGTGCGTAGAGAGCTTCATGGAATGGGTTTCCATGGCCGAGCAGCTGCATCCAAGCCTTCCATCACCAAGTGCAATGCAAAGCGTCGAATGCCGTGGTGTAAAGCACGCTGCCACTGGACTCTAGAGCAGCGGAGACGCATTCTTTGGAGTGACCAATCGCGCTTCTCTGGTAATCCGATGGATGTGTCTGGGTTTGGCTGTGGCCAATAGAACGTTACTTGCCTGACTGCATTGTGCCAAGTGTAAAGTTTGGTGGAGGGGGGATTATGCTGTCGGGTTATTTTTCAGAAGTTTGACTTGGCCCCCTAGTTCCAGTGAAGGGAACTCGTAAGGTGTCAGCATACCAAGACATTTTGGACAATTTCATGCTCCCAACTTTGTGGGAAGAGTTTGGGGATGGCCCCTTCCTGTTCCAACATGACTGCCCACCAGTGCACAAAGCAAGGTCCATAAAGACATGGAGGAGCCAGTTTGGGGTGGAGGAACTTGACTGACCTGCACAGAGTCCTGACCTCAACCCCATAGAACACCTTTGGGATGAATTAGAGCGGAGACTGCGAGCCAGGCCTCCTCCCCCGACATCAGTGCCTGACCTGACAAATGTGCTTCTGGAAGAATGGTCCAACCTTCCCATAGACACCCTCCTAAACCTTGTGGACGGCCTTCCCAGAAGAGTTGAAGCTGTTATAGCTGCAAAGGGCGGGGCCAACTCAATATTGAACCCTACGGACTAAGACTGGGGGGGCCATTAAAGTCATGGGCATGGAAAGGCCAGCCAACCAATACTTTTGGCAATATAGTGTACATTATACAGCGCTGTGTTCAGGCAAGTCGGTAACTTCCCACCCCGCTCCCAGAACACAATCAAGTCAGGCTGCTCAGCCATTAACAGCGGACTTTGTATTCTGTGAATGAATACAAGGCTTCCTCTGATCAGAGACTGTGACATCAAACGCCTGCCTCAGTCAATCACAGGAAGCCTTGTATTCATTCACAGAAATAAAAAATCCCTGTAAATGGATGAGCAACACTCAGCCTGACTGATTTGTTTTCAGGAGGGGGGTGGGAAGTCCCTGATACACTGCAGGAACACAGCGCTGTATACCGTGTGTAGCTGAGGCTACATACAGTTCATACGGCAACAGCCACTTCATAGGTTAGTAAATAGCTTGTCGGGACATCCTTGGTCCAAAGAAACCGTTTAACCTTCACTGAAACTTGGAGAGCAGTCTTCTGTAAAGAACATTCGATTTTTCATTTTTGGTCAAATCACCACTTGTTTTCGACTGCAATGACAAGAAGAGTAGGATGGAAATTTTTTCTGAGACAACATAAGTTGTCTCTATTCTTGAAAATCCATGAATATCAAAATCAAATGTTAAAGGGTAAGTTCACCTTATATAACAAGCTCCCAATGTTGCAGCCGCTGCCCGATCCCCCCTCACTCCATGTGAGAGCAGTATGGGGAAAAGTTCCCCCTACCAGCTGTCACTTTTTAACCACTTCCAGTCGGACGCTTCCCCCCCTTCCAGTCCGGACGCTCCCCTCCCCCCCCCCCCCTTCCAGTCCGGACGCTCCCCCCCCTTCCCCCCCTTCCAGTCCGGACGCTTTCCCCCCTTCCAGTCCGGACGCTTTCCCCCCTTCCAGTCCGGACGCTTTCCCCCCTTCCAGTCCGGACACTTTCACCCCCTTCCAGTCCGGACGCTTTCCCCCCCTTCCAGTCCGGACGCTTTCCCCCCCTTCCAGTCCGGACGCTTTCCCCCCCTTCCTTCCGGACGCCCCCCCCTTCCAGTCCGGACGCTTTTCCCCCCCTTCCAGTCCGGACGCTTTCCCCCCCTTCCAGTCCGGACGCTTTTCCCCCCTTCCAGTCCGGACGCTTTTTCCCCCCCCTTCCAGTCCGGACGCTTTCCCCCCCTTCCAGTCTGGACGCTTTCCCCCCCCTTCCAGTCCAGACACTTCCCCCCCCCTTCCTGCTCAGGCCAATTTTCAGCTTTCAGCACTATCACGCTTTGAATGACAATTGTGCGGTCATGCAACACTGTACCCAGATTAATTTTTTAGCATTTTATTGAGACAGATAAAGCTTTATTTTGGTGGTATTTATTCACCACTGGGATTTTTACTTTTTTTGCTATGTAAATGAAATGTCCAACAATTTTGAAAAAAAAAAAAGTGTTTTTCTTATAAAAATTTTGCAAATAAATAATATTTCATCATAAATCTTGGCCAAAATTTATGCAGTTATCTTATGTAAAAAAACACCAACCCAAATTAGTTTATAACCAAAAATTATAATTTTTAAACAATTTTTTTTACATTTTTATATTTATGTTTTTTGTTTTGATTTTTTTTTTTACATACTGTCACCCTAGCAGTATAGTGTCACCGTGGTGACACTGTACTACTTGTAGGGGGTATGAAGATTTTTTTTTTTTTTTTACACTGATTGCTTTTACACCCATAAAGGCTGTTAAAGAAATCACTTCTCTCTGGCTGCATTCTTGCAGCCATTGAGAACTACTGTGTGAGCTGTTATTGGTCACAGCTTGTCACATGATACAAGGCTGTTGTGAATAGCCCTGTACCTTGTGACCTCTGTGATCATTCACAGATTTCACACGTAGTAAGCAATGATGTCACAAGTGACATCTTGCTCGCTACTCTGCATGTGATCACTGTTTGGCCAATCAGTGATTACATGATCGGGACCTCGCACAGAGGTCCCGTACGACGAGTAGTGTTCCACTGTGTCCGGAGAACACAGTGAGCACTGGATCGCGGTGCTGCGTGCTCCCAGGGAGCGTGCACAAGCAGGGGGGCCATTTATAAACAGCCACCCGACCTTGCACTGCCACCGTCCAGCTGTTTATATACAACAGCTGGACGGGAGGTGGTTTAAAACTGGCGCAGCAGTGCGGGGCTTCCGTCTACATGGCCGCGTTTTTGATTCAGGGTTATGTGAATGAGCGAACAACAAGTCCCAACAGCCTTAGCAGCTGTCGGCTTGTAGTTCTCAATGAACTACCACGACTCTGAAGACAGGATCAAACAGCCTTTTTACACAATGCGGAGGATTAACCCCTTAGGTTCCACAGTGAGTATAACAAGCATGCTTTACTGCATCTACAGACTGATTGTACTGTTGTGGGTTTAGTAACACTTTAATGGTCAATTATGATAATTTTCATCAAGTCTGGTACAAGAGTGGGTTCCAGACCTCATAAAGCTCCCAGGTTTCCCACTATGACTCTGTCATAAAAGGTGACAACACACAAGGTAACAACTCTTCAATGGACAAAGACTTTTTACTGTTGAGATTACTCAATCCACCTTTTTGCATGGGTGGAGGAATTTTTCTTTTTTTTTCCTTCGTTCATACAGGCTGAACAAAAAACAGCATATGAACAGCTTAAGACTGAAGCACCACACAGGAAATTGATCGTCCTGACAAATAATTTTATCAAAATACAAATTTTATTACACAACCAACATGTTTTGGGGGTCAGAACACAGCCCCTTAATCATAGCTTCAGGGGGGGGAAAAAAAAAAAAAATAGAAATAAAGGATAGGTGTATACTGGGACCGATTATGGTTTTTGAACCTGGTCTGGGTGATCATATAGCGTATGTCAACAGCTCGTTCAGGCAATCCAGCTAGAGACATCGGATTTGTGCAGGTAAACTGTATTTGTATACAGCTGCTATCTAGAGATTTCTAGAGAGCGGTAACATAAGTGGCAGCAATAAACAGGTCACAACGCCGTCTAGTACAGCACAGCAAGGACTGCCATTGGTCATTTTAAGTACAGGTGTACCTCGGTTTATGAATTTAATGCGTTCTCCGGGACGTTTCGTATTGCGAAAAATTCATAAACAGAAGTGCGGTTTCCCTTAGGAATGCACTGAAAACCAATTCATCTGTTCCAGAGGCAAGAAAAAAAAAGTAAAAAAGTCACTCACTATAGGTCAGTGCCGGATTTGAAATGTAATTACCAGCTTTTTTTTTTCTTCACTAATGCTCAGAGAATCAGCTGTCACTTTCCAGCCAGCTAAAAAAAGAAAGTTTCCTTTTAGTTTATTTCCTTAAGTTAAAAGAAACAATGTTTCCTTTAAGTTTGTTTCCCCGAGATAAAAGAAACAATGTTAGGCGATTTCTGAAAACCTGTCTCTTCAGGGAAGCCTATCTAGCAGTCAGCTAACAATGGAATCTTCTACTCTTCATACCAGTCCATCCCCCTCAGTTACTAACTTTTGTACCACTAGCCCCTCCCTCTTAGATTGTAAGCTCCCAGGATCAGGGCCCTCCTATCCCTCTTGTATTGAACTGTATTGTTGCTGTATTGTCTCCCGTTGCATTGTAAAGCGCTGAGCAAACTGTTGGCGCCATAAATCCTGTATAATAACAATAATAATAATAATAATAATGTCTCCTTTTAGTTTGTTTCCTGAGATAAAAGAAACAAAGTTTCCTTTAGCTCCAGGGAAAGTGACGGCTAATTCTGTGAGCTATAGTGAAAAAAAAAAAAAAAGGCAATTGCATTTAAAAATCGGCAACATACACTTCGTATTGCGAAAAGAATTAGTAAACCGAGGTATTATTTTCAATGGATTTTCATTCGTAACCGAAAATTACGGTAACCGAGGCGTTTGTAAACCGAGGTGCGCCTGTATACTGTAATGGGAAGTTTGTAACCGAGTAGACAGGCAGAATCATCCTCACCTTATGGTTCCGGTCGGGGAAGGCAGGGGGCTGATTAGGTGAGCCATGTTCTCTGGAATGTTTATGGTCAGGGGGGAAATCTGCGGCTGCACTGGTTTGATGGGGGATTCGGGGGCTTCCTGCTTCTCTTTCTTGTCACGTGAGAGAGCGCAGTAAACGTGATCTTGATATTTGTGCTGGGAAACCTGAAGGTGCATCTGTGGAATAGAGAGAAAGAGAAATGGGGTTCAGTACAGAAACAAAGCATCACATTACATTTCATGGTGGAGGAAACGCAATAAATGGACAGAATCACCCAGAACATGGCTGAGGCCTAACAAGTATTTCTGTAGATCTAGAAAACACAACTGCAGCAACCCAGACAGAGGATGCTAGATTCCACCCAGACCTCTACAGACAAAAGTATGGAAGGAACTGCAGGCGTGAGTATTCACATACGGGCAGCACAGTGGCTAAATGGTTAGCACTTCTGTCTCGCAGTACTAGGGGTCGTTGGTTCGAACCACCTGCCTGGAGTTTTGCATGCTCTCGCTGTGCCTGCGTGGGTTTCTTCCAGGTACTCCGGTTTCCTCCCACACTCCAAAGAGATGCTGGTAGGTGAATTGATTTCCTGTCCAAACTGTCCCTAGTATGTGTATGTATGAATGTAAGTTAGGGACCTTAGATTGTACACCCCTTGAGTGTTAGGGACCTTAGATTGTACGCCCCTTGAGGGTCAGGGACTGATGTGAATGTACAATATATATGTACAGCGCTGTGTACATTGTCGGCGCTATATAAGTACCTGAAATAAATAATCAGCTTGTCAGCCAGAGCTGGCAATTTTAACGGTAGCCTCCATCTTTCAGAGAAATCTATCCCATTGCTATGCACGGGTGAGGAGGGAATCGGCGTTCGCCCTCGTTTACTTTTGCTTTGGAATTCTAGGTTTAGGGGTTACATTTTATTTATTTAAACAAGGCTGAAAACGGCCAAGTTTTTTTTTCTAACTATGTAGTTGTAATGCGGACCGACCCACGATATGGCAGGGGGCCAGTATGAAGTGAAAATAACCCGGGCATTAATCTAGCTCAGACTTTGGCAGTGTGTGAGGAAATCTGCCCGGCGACAGCCTACAGCCAAAATAGACCAAAGGCCTAACTGGGTGACGGCAGTGCCGGTGTTTTGTCCTGTATACTGTATGTACACAACACACACACTGCCAATACAAACACTCAATACACAGCAGCTCAGGATCCATCTGTCTGCACATCACCTTGTGTTGCAACATATACGTCTTCTACATTCTGTGTACCAAACACACATCTACAGTCCAAGACACACAACACCCCCAGGCAGCTGCGGAACCCCCTCGTGAGCAACTCTCCCCCCCCCCCCTTTGTCTCAGCAGTCGGCAGCAGAGAGGATGACAGAGTTCCTCCTACAGATCCTGCGCTTCACCATGCAGCCGTAGAGAGGTTGGACTCAATATCTCCCCCTGAACCCGTCTCAGCAGTTAGCAGCAGAGAGAGGATGACAGATTTCCTCCTACAGATCCTGCACCTCTCTGCAAAGCTGCAGCACACCCTCAGCTCCGCCCCTCCTGATCTCAGCATTCAACTAACTCCAGCCCTCCTCTGATCCTCCCCCCCAGACCCTGCACTGCTTCCCAGCTTCTTCCTGGCAGCAGCACAAGGTACGTGGGGGGTGCAAGGTGATGTACTGACATCTGGAGGGGGGGGGCTCCTGACTGGACATCTGATGTACGGTGGGGGTGCTCTGGACATCTGATGTAAGGGGGGGGTGCTCTGGACATCTGATGTAAGGGGGGGGGCTCTGCTCTGGACATCTGATGTAAGGGGGGGGGGGTGCTCTGGACATCTGATGTAAGGGGGGGGGTGCTCTGGCCACATCTGATGTAAGGGGGGGGGGGGGTGCTCTGGACATCTGATGTAAGGGGGGGGTGCTCTGGACATCTGATGTAAGGGGGGGGTGTGCTCTGGACATCTGATGTAAGGGGGGGTGCTCTGGACATCTGATGTAAGGGGGGGGTGCTCTGGACATCTGATGTAAGGGGGGGGGGGGGGGGGGTGCTCTGGACATCTGATGTAAGGGGGGGGTGCTCTGGACATCTGATGTAAGGGGGGGGGTGCTGCTGGACATCTGATGTAAGGGGGGGGGTGCTCTGGACATCTGATGTAAGGGGGGGGGTGCTCTGACATCTGATGTAAGTGGGGGGGGTGCTCTGGACATCTGATGTAAAGGGGGGGGTGCTCTGGACATCTGATGTAAGGGGGGGGTGCTCTGGACATCTGATGTAAGGGGGGGGTTGCATCTCTGGACATCTGATGTAAGGGGGGGGTGCTCTGGACATCTGATGTAAGGGGGGGTGCTCTGGACATCTGATGTAAGGGGGGGGTGCTCTGTAAGGGGGTGGGGGGTGCTCTGGACATCTGATGTAAGGGGGGGGGGGGTGCTCTGGACATCTGATGTAAGGGGGGGGTGCTCTGGACATCTGATGTAAGGAGGGGGGGTGGGGGGGTGCTCTGGACATCTGATGTAAGGGGGGGGTGCTCTGGACATCTGATGAAGGGGGGGGGTGCTCTGGACATCTGATGTAAGGGGGGGGGTGTGCTCTGGACATCTGATGTAAGGGGGGGGGGTGCTCTGGACATCTGATGTAAGGGGGGGGTGCTCTGGACATCTGATCTGGACATCTGATGTAAGGGGGGGGGTGCTCTGGACATCTGATGTAAGGGGGGGGGTGCTCTGGACATCTGATGAAGGGGGGGGGGGTGCTCTGGACATCTGATGTAAGGGGGGGGGGTGCTCTGGACATCTGATGTAAGGGGGGGGGCTCTGGACATCTGATGTAAGGGGGGGGGGGTGCTCTGGACATCTGATGTAAGGGGGGGGGGTGCTCTGGACATCTGATGTAAGGGGGGGGTGCTCTGGACATCTGATGTGACAAGGGGGGGGGGGTGCTCTGGACATCTGATGTAAGGGGGGGGGGTGCTCTGGACATCTGATGTAAGGGGGGGGTGCTCTGGACATCTGATGTAAGGGGGGGGTGCTCTGGACATCTGATGTAAGGGGGGGGGTGCTCTGGACATCTGATGTAAGGGGGGGGGGTGCTCTGGACATCTGATGTAAGGGGGGGGGGTGCTCTGGACATCTGATGTAAGGGGGGGTGCTCTGGACATCTGATGTAAGGGGGGGGGGTGCTCTGGACATCTGATGTAATGTGCTCTGGACATCTGATGTAAGGGGGGGGGTGGTGCTCTGGACATGATGATGTAAGGGGGGGGGTGCTCTGGACATCTGATGTAAGGGGGGGGGGGTGCTCTGGACATCTGATGTAAGGGGGGGGGTGCTCTGGACATCTGATGTAAGGGGGGGGGGGTGCTCTGGACATCTGATGTAAGGGGGGGGGTGCTCTGGACATCTGATGTAAGGGGGGGGTGCTCTCTGGACATCTGATGTAAGGGGGGGGGTGCTCTGGACATCTGATGCAAGGGGGGGGGTGCTCTGGACATCTGATGTAAGGGGGGGGTGCTGCTCTGGACATCTGATGTAAGGGGGGGGTGCTCTGGACATCTGATGTAAGGGGGGGGGGTGCTCTGGACATCTGATGATGTAAGGGGGGGGGTGCTCTGGACATCTGATGATGTAAGGGGGGGGTGCTCTGGACATCTGATGTGTAGGGGGGGGGGGGGTGCTCTGGACATCTGATGATGTAAGGGGGGGGTGCTCTGGACATCTAAGGGGGGGGTGCTCTGGACATCTGATGATGTAAGGGGGGGGTGCTCTGGACATGATGATGTAAGGGGGGGGTGCTCTGGACATCTGATGATGTAAGGGGGGGGGTGCTCTGGACATCTGATGATGTAAGGGGGGGGGGGGTGCTCTGGACATCTGATGATGTAAGGGGGGGGTGCTCTGGACATCTGATGATGTAAGGGGGGGGTGCTCTGGACATCTGATGATGTAAGGGGGGGGTGCTCTGGACATCTGATGATGTAAGGGGGGGGTGCTCTGGACACCTAGTCTAACAATTATAAATAGCCCTTGGGAGCAACCATAATGCTGATGTGGCCCGCGATTAAACTGCGTTTGACACCGCTGCTCTAAAAGTATACGAAACACTCAGCGTGCAACATATACATTCACAACAGTGAATCTCTTAAAGGTTCCGGGTGCGTCACTGTCTCGGGCCCACTGCAGCTCTCACTGGTTTCTCCTGCCAACCTCCACATCACTAATATAATCCATAAAGCGTGAAGATCAGCAGGAGGGACCACAGAATACGGTGAAGCACCTCCAGAAAGTGGAAGTTTTGGAGCAGACTTCACAAAGATTTCTCAGGATCGCAGAGGAGTTCAGCATCATATGTAGTGGGCAAGGTGAGCATTCAGGGCTAGTTCACACTAGATGTAGTCCAGTGCGGGGTTTTTTCTGCATCAAAAATGCATGCACAGTGTTTTCCATGTATTCCAATGGCCCTAATTCACACTAGTGCACTCAATTCCAGGCAGTTTTCAGTGCAGAAGAAGAAGTAGAACATGCAGCATTTGTTCTGCATCAGAACTGCTCCGGAACTGTGTGTATTGTGAACTGTAAGCATAAACATATCGGAATGCATCCGGAGTGCGTTTTTGTGGTGTGAACTGGCCCTTCAGTGGATGCAGTTTGCTGTGTTCCAGTATGGTTCCACTCTGGATGAAGGAGCACAGGGGGCCCCTTTGGACAGCAGCAGTTTCCAATACAGAAAAAAAAAGTACATGCTGCATTTTTTTCTGCACAGAACCATACTGTGGTTGAGTGTGGTGTGAAGTGTAGTATCAGGAATGCATCTGAAGTGCATTGTTGTAGTGTGAACCGGCCCTCAGTTTTGTTTTTCCTACAGAAACATCCGGCTTCATTTAAATTCTTTACTATGGGCAGCACAGTGAGTAAATGGTTAGCACTTCCGCCTGGCAGTACTCGGGTCGTTGGTTCGAATCCCAACCACAGTACCACCTGACTGGAGTTTGCATGTTCTCCCTGTGCCTGCGTGGGTTTCCTCCGGTACTCAGGTTTCCTCCCACACTCCAAAGACATGCTGGTAGATGAATTGGCTCCTGTCTAAATTGTCCCTAGTATGTGTATGTATGAATGTGAGTTAGGGACCTTAGATTGTACGCTCCTCGGGGGCGGGGGACTGATGTGATGTACAATATATGTATG